CTAAATCAGTTTTAGCCATTACTTATTCTCCTTCTAAGCTTACATAAGGTGTCACTCATCATAGATAATAAATATTGTATTAATGGATGAATGAATGAATGATAACAGAACATAATTATTCTATATTTCTTTTATGGCTTAAGTGTTTGAGGGAAGTAAGTATTACTACTATTGTCAAAATAAATTTTAGGGTGCAGAAAATGAAGGTACAGATAACATTTCCATAACGTCAAATGCAGATATAGAGACATAGGTACATGTATTGAAGTATAATTCTTTACTCCATAAATATGTACAATCAATACATTTCAACTAAAAAATAAATTCCTTTAGAAAAAGTAAGTGATATTTTCTCTAATCCCCTCCAACTAACATATCTTTCCTGGATGGATATACCAGAAGCTACTTATCATTTTAAAATCCTGTCACTTTGATGATACCTTGTAGGAATGAAAAGTGGAAGACAACTTTATTGTGGTCTGCTATGCTCATGAGAGACTTTTATTCAGGTGACACAGGGGCATTCTCTGGACAGACAGTCACCCTGAGATCTGTTTGTGGGGAGGGGGCAGAATGTCGCTTAGGAACAGTGAGATAGGGGCTGGATAAATAAAGACTGGGATTCAAAGCAGGCATACTGGTGTTCTAAAAATGAACTTAAAATAAGCACCTAGATCGTTTTTTGTCCAAGCATCACCTGGATTTACTAATTCTGAACTATCAATGAGTCTATTTTTCCCTCCAGCTGCAGTTCCTGGGTTTAGGCCCTCATCACTTTTCACTGGAAGTGCTGCCAAACCTTTTGATATGGGGTCCCTGCAGCTGATCTCGACAGCTTTCCTCTACATGCCAACAAACACCACTTCAAACCCAAACTCCTTCAGCTCAAGCTTTTGCCTCAAATCCTTAGGAACTCATTATGAACAAAATAATAGAGTTTTGGTAATAAAATACCTGAATTTTAATACAATTTTGCTTTAAAACCATTGCTTGGTACTCTGAGATCACCACCAGGGTGGCTATTATGAAGGGCCAATCAGG